GGCGCAATATGGTTCATGGGGTCACGAAGAGTCGGACACGACTTAACGACTAAACAAAATAAGACCAACAAGTAGAGATTTCTTCCAGTTAAGCCAAGAGATGTTATGAAAACCGATTTGTAGATTCCCTTAGCGTCATTTCCCCTCCCACCTATCCTCAACTATCCACTGCATTCCTCAAAATATGGTAAGACATTGTCAGGCTCAGCCCAAGAACAACGATGAAACAGTTCAGTTCAGTACAGTTCCTTTATTTGCTTACACCCTCTAGACAGGAATCCTGCCAGACTAACTCTACACTACAGCAACTAGTGGATATGGCCCGTGATACTCTAGGGAGGGGCTAATCTAAACCTCTTCTTCTCATGGTCTTGCTGCGGACTGAGAAAGTGCTTGCCTTGTCCCACTTCCTGGAATGCACTACTTCCCTCCCGACAGCCTTGATCTCCCATACCAGTCTCCTCCTCGCAGATACTTTCCATTACAGACATGGTTGGATCTGGTCTCAGGAAAGTGCTCTCTATGGCCATTTTGGCTCTGATCAAAGGATCAGAGAATTTAATGGGCTATATCATCATATAAAGGACTATTCAAGGAAGCATATAAGAATAGACTGGCCCAGGGATGAGAAGACAGTGATAGATGAAGACCCACCACAGAACTGAGGACATTTTGGAACAGGCATTCCTCAAAGGCAGAATGGTTGTGAAGGCATTGGCTTTGGGCCCAATGTTCATGAGATAAGGAGAGCTTCTAGATGGAGAGTGAGATCTTAGCAGAGGTCTATCATGAATGTCTTTCTCTGAAACTGTGTCTTCAGAAGAACTCAAAGGAGAGTGAACGGCCTGAATTGGCAAATCAAGAACTTTGCAAGATAAAGATGGAGGGACTGGCAGAGTGAAGGATCCACAGATATGGGGCCAATATTGGGTAGAGGTATGAAGGACCTGTATTCTTTTTATTTTTGCCCTAATCAAAGCTAAGTGGGTCAGCTCTTTTAGTAGTTTCCTCCTGTTTAATGAGCGATTTTCCTGATACCAATAACAAAACTGCAGAGCCCTGGGAACCACGAGCAAGAGAAGGGGATTGTGGAGAGCCACAGAGATGACCTTGGAGACACTATGTGGCGACAATTACAAAAACATGTTTTAAATCCAGGAAACAAAGAAAGCTTTAGAAAGAAATTCAGACTGATTCCGCCTTAACTTCCTGGGTTACAAGAGAGAAACAAAAATGCAGTCAGGATTTCAAGATTCTGCTATTATAAGACTACATCAATAAAGTAGAATTCCAGCATTCTTGTGGTGTCTGTTTCCTGACTGGGTCTACCTCAAAGGGCTGACTGGGATCCTGAATGGCATCTTTTGAGATATGAGGAAAAACTTTGGATGAAGTTAAAAGAGCCACTCCAAGAAATTATTCTCAAAGCATGACACACAAGTGAGAGAACCAAGTACGTCTTGTTAACAGCTGATAGTGCTTAGAAGAATCCAGAGACGATCCCAAGATTTTGTTTATCCAAAAGGTGAAATTTGCTACCACAATGCTAACAGTTTTGAAATGAGGCCTTCAGAGTCACATGGCTGAGGCCAAAAGAATTGAGTAGCTTGTGCCCTACAATCCCTCATGCATAAATGAACAAAAGAAAAATAGATAACCTAAAATGAAATTAAATAAAACAGAAACTACACCTCCCAAAAAGGACAGAATCAGGACAGAATAAAAATGAAATTTACATTAACTGAATTAATAATGATTAATTCACTTTAAGAGAGTTAGTTTGATGTAATGGTTAAGACACCAGGCCCGAAACCTACAGTCAGGTCCAGAAATATTGGGACATCGACACAATTCTAACATCTTTGGCTCTATACACCACCACAATGGATTTGGAATGAAACAAACACAATGTGCGTTAACTGCAGACTGTCAGCTTTAATTTGAGGGTATGTACATCCAACTCAG